TGTTCAGAAATGATTTAATATTCATGTAAAAATAACCTAACTCTGGCATTGTTGCCTTCATCCTTTTCAAATTACTCTCCATGGTCACTTTCTCTTTTGAAAGAGCCAGAAATCTTATTGGGTAGGGGCAAATCTGGACTGTAGGGAGAAGGCTGATAGACCTGGATGATATTTCTTGCCAAGAAACCACAAGATTTTTACTGATCTACTTACTCGTTCAATGTGAATGTAGCACAGACAAGCTCACGTCACTGTTAACTGAATAACCTCATGAGAGACACTCTGATTGTTTGTAAAGTTATATCAAGGCTGCACAACCAGTCCTCATGATATTCAGAATAGATGACTATATTCCAGACAGACCTTGTACAATTGCTTAAGTTGAAGTACTTTTATTTTGGGCTTTTTTGTCTATATTGCAATTAAAATAACTTTTAATGATAGAGACAGATTTTTTGGTTCCAGTTTTTAATGTTCTTATTTACTATTAATTTAACAATAAAAATTATGTCCTATAATGATGTTATTTCAACTTTGCTGTATAGTTATGGACTCTATATCATTGTGATATTCCAAAATTAGAAAGCTTTCACCAGTAAAAGCTTTGTTCAATTTTGAACATCAAATGGAATTACTATGTGACCAACACCAAAGTCTTAGAAAGAACCAACAGCTGAAGCATCGAATTGCTGATTATTAAACATCATTTACAATGGTCAGGACACATAGCAAGGATTGAAGAGACAAGGTTTCCACATCAAGTCTTATTCAGTGAGCTTACTTCACGGAAAAGATCACGGGGTTGCTCTCTTCAAAGATACAAGGACCAACTCAAAACAATGCTGAAAGCCACAGGACTTGAACCTAAATCATTTGAAACACAAGCACAAGACTGTACCAACTGGTGATCTTCCATCACTATCAGAACCAAGAACTTCGAAGCTACCAGAAGAGAAAAGGAAGAAGTCAACCAAAAGAAGAGAAAGCCTTGACAAAATTGACCTTTGTTCTCCACCAACATTACTATGAGACTAATTGATCTCTCGCTACTACCATGGAAAGTGCTCAGATGAACTGCATCTTCTGGTTTCACCAGGCCTGACCTTCACAGCTAGGACCCACCATGCCATTTATATAGTAAATCACTACAATCTTAACCTGTTCAAGTCAACTGTTGTCTTCCCCTGTTATCCATATAATCTCCCCCTTGATGAAACCCTCTACCTCTTGTACAGGGTTTACCTTACTGTAAAAAAAGAAAAAAAAAAAAGAAAACATCAATGCTATCAGCTCTTCCATGCAAGAATTGGTTCATTAAGCCATCAACGCCATCGTAATAACGGAAGTGAACAGAAAAGAAGAAATTAAATTCTTGGATATGAGATAAAGCTGGTGACTAATTTGTTATAATTTCACTCTAAAGAAAAAGAAAAATTAAAAGTGTGCAAATGTTGATATGTAAAAGGAATATTGACTTTGTACTGAAACAGTTCTTAACTTCTAATTAAAACAATTTTTTTTCTCTATTTTTCTGCTTTGTTGTGAGATAAATTCTTATAGATTGATAATAATTTTTAGGACGGATTTTAAGTGTAGCAGAAAAATTACTGATTTTTATTCATTTATGCTATTTACATTGTCTGGACTATTATCCTCATCTTCATTGCCATATTCACCAATATGGCAATGAAGATGAGGACAACAGCCTGAACAATGTAAATAGTGTAAATAATTACAATACATCATCTCAGAAATATAGTCAGATATTGATTTTTATCCGTATATTTCTCTGGCTTAGAAAGACTTTTACTATCTAAAAAAAAAAAAAAAAAATTGTTTTCTATGGTTTATTAACCCATTGCAGGTTATTTCAAACCAGAAAACGTTTTTAGATTGTAAGAATATTTTTGGGGATTATAATGGTTTAGTCTTACTAATTAACCCATATCTGGGGGGAGAAGAGGTGGATTCATACCTTTTGCAAGGTTATTTGCATGTAAGTGACTATAATGAGTTTAATGGATGTTGGAACTCAGCTTCCTGATTAACAATTCCAAGCCATTATCCATTATACTACCTGCACATCAAAGCTTACAACACCTGGTATTTCTATGTGGTCATTAATCTAGGTTCTGACCAGGCTTAACATTGCTTAACTTCGGTGATTGTAGGTATGAAGTACTTAAATGCGAGAACAATACATTCAGCTGGCCATTTCCATTATGGGAGATTGTAAAAAGAATTCTTGCTATTTTAAGCTTTTTACATTTGTAATGTTAGCCGTTAGCAAGTTTAAGGGTTCTCTTGAGAGAGAGAGAGAAAGAGAGAGTATTGAGAATAAAGATGACGTTAGTATCTTTACATTTAATTTTATATAGAATCTAAAAAGAAGCTGCTTTTTGTGTTCTTCACTGATGAAAACATTTCAGCCTCTATTTCGTTTCCTTTGTAGAAAAGGGAGGAAGGAATTCTTTCTACGTCGGAAGATAATTCCCTTGCTTTTGTGAAATGCATGCACAACCGATTTAAAGAAGAGCAAACTATTTTTTTTTTTTTTAATTTATTCCTCAGTTGCTGTATCTGATATTGTTAAGCTAAATTTAGTATATTCGGATACACAACAAAGCCATTATATAAAAAATTCTTGGCTTAACCGAGAAGTCATTCCAGAAAAAATATAACTCTAGTTTCTGATAAGATTTTGGTAAGTGGGCTGGGCCAAGAACTTTTCAGCATCCCCTTCGTTTGTGTGTGTGTGTGTGTGTGTTTGTTCTATCCCAAATCTACTATTCGAATGTAGAAACCTTTCATTGAAAATAGTATGAAGTAAATCTGAAATTACCAATAATATACATTCGTTCAAAAGTTTGAGGCCATCCTCTGGTAATTTTTTTAAATTGGTACCAAAAGTTGTTGTTTTGTAGTTTAAATATGAGAAAATTATTACACATGGTTAAAAAAAATGGGAGACATGATTTTTTTTTTATTAGAAATTTTATTATGGCAAAAAGAAAAGCATTTTATGATTAAATTTTGCTCTTGTCAAAATATCCTTCTTTAGCATTCATTACCGCAGCACAAATTTTTGGCATTTCTTGCAAAAGTTTCTCAAAGTATAAGTTTGATAATTGATTCCATTCTTTGGGGGCAGCTTCAAACTTTTGAACTGTAGTATCTATGGGAAATTTTCTTTGATTATTCCTACATTTGCCAAGGCTGTAATGATTTCAATAAAATTAACTTGAATTCAGAAATGACATGTAGATTTAGGACTGGTTTACACCTTGTTCTGACTGCTTACAAATTATAGAAAAATGTGCCAAACATATTGTTGTATTTCAAGCCTTACAAATCAGTCACAGAAGACAATGGATCTTAACTTTTGACATTGAAGCAAGTAGATTTAAGTTACTTAGGTGGGGTGGGAGCCTGTATAAAAGACTTGAAAGTATGTGCAGGTTTTGTGATGTCAGGTTTTGGCAGGAACAGTGGAATCAGTGAGCTAAGTTCAAATTCAGGTCAAGTATGTTGTATTCACTTTTGCATGAAAAACCTTAGAAAAGGGGCACGAATCCATTTCTTTCACTCCCCCCATCATCCCCATGTATGGGTTAAATAGCAGAGCACACTGTGCTCTCTAGCTTTGGGTGACAACTTTGAAATCAAGACCATAGAAAATGCAATAGGAAGCCACTCCACTATCTTTCCCAAGGATAATGGCAATTCGCATATAATGAAGAATAAGAATTTGTGGAGAGCCATGATCATCTATGTCCTGCAGGTATATGGCATTAAAAAAAATTATATACAAAAAAATGTGCTAATCTATAAATAGTGTCATCTTTTTTTTTTTCTCCTATGCTTGTTACATATGTATGTCTGTGTTTCAGTGACTCACCATACCATATCTACACATTTTAGTACTCATAAAATTGCCATTTTTCTTTTCTGGTGTGGATGTGTGACTGGTGTAATGGATAGTGACTCAGATTATAAAAATTGGAAAATATAGTTTGAGTTTCAGTCAGGTTTGTTACATTCACTTACATACCTTTGTGAACTGTATGGATCCATCTCTTCCCAACTATGGGTTAAATAGTATGACTTGTATCTGGAAAAAAGAATTATTCTTGCAATTGAAAATATATTTTGGCTTTAAATAACTCACAAAAGGTTGATAAGCCATCAAAAAACAAATTAATCAATTTTTGCCTGAATTTCTGTGATGAGGAGTTATCTTTATTTACACAATTTGGATTTGAACTATTGTCCTCATCTTTGTTGTTATTACCCATTGGTGTATCACATCAGGTCCCTACCGAATTGGTAATATCTGTCTTAGTTTTTGGTATGAGAAGTTATCATTATTTACATTTGCACTATTGTTCTCATTGAAATTGCGTAGATGGAACCCTTGGGTGTCGTCGATGGCTGTTCTAGTACAAGGTCACAGGTCATCATGAGTGAGGTTTTGAGCCTGCTGGCCTTGTTCAGATTTTTGATCATGCTAGATAACATGCTTTCTCCCAGAAATTGTAACTAATGTTTGCTCAACATAGTAGCAGTATAAACCACAGGTAGGCTCTGTGGGTGTTGAACAAACACAAATGCACCTGAGCAGGCGTCTGCAATAGGGATTGGCTAGCCACCCTAGTAGATAGGTATCCTCGAATATGAGTGGCCTGCTGTTAATTGTTTGCAGCATAATAACAACACTGCATATTGATCTGTGTAACCTACAGGGAATTTTGAACTGAGTTTTTTATTTAATCTACAGGGGGATAAATTGTTCTCAGCAGTCTGGGTTACCTTGATTGAAATACACCTGAGAAAGGCCAGTGGGCAGCATGGCCAAAACGTTGTGATTAAGAGCAACAAAGATGAGGACATTAGTCTGAATATAAATAGTGTAAATAAATCAATGAATCTTTTCTGGCTTTTGCTTTGATGCTTTTTTTTTTCTTTTCTGACTTAATCATTTTTTTCTTCTCATTTTTCAGTATTCTGGTTTCCAACAAACTGCTGATAAATGCTGTGTGTGTGGTCACTTGATTATGGATATGGTAAGTCATCTGAACCATTGCATTTTTTTTAATTTTTTCTTTTGCATAAAATCCTGAAATCCCCTTCCTGCTTTGATTTAACAGAAACAGAAATCTAACACTTGACCTTCTTTCCTGAAAGAAACCTGGTTCATCAACATTTGATTTTAAATTTGTAAAGTATCCAATCATTTTTCATTTCATGTGCCAAGAAGTTAGTTTAAATATAACCCCAGCTGGAATTTATATTATTATCAAATAAAATTTGATTTTAACATGAGAAGAATAGAAAAAAAACCCATATTTGGTAAGATTTAGGAAAGCTGATAAATTTTCTGCACCCCCTCCCATAATCAGTAAGAATATCCAAAATTCTTTTACTCTTTCTGGGTAAAAGTAGCACTTCAAAATACAATACTCAGAGAAAGTAATTTGACTCGTCCCCCTCCTTGAATATGCAAACTCCAATTCCACTGTATTCATTGTTCAACTTGAATTTTTTATTTCCTTGTAAGATATTTTATTATTTTCTGTTTGTAATATATATTCTTTTTTAGTTGAGGTGACGTTTTAAGTATCTTTTAATATCCCTATTTTCTGACTCTACTTATGTTTAATCTCAAGATTTGATCTTCTGTAATGTAATTTGATTCATTCTTGTTTCTCTCGGTAAATACTTAAAAAAACACACACACACAGACTAAACTTTGGCTTATGTAAAAATGGACTTGATTTCATTTCAAGATATCTTACAATTTGGTTAACTTTGGAAGTGAATCTAAAACTTTATTTTTTTTTTTTTTAAGGAGGATTTTTTACATTTCTTTTTTTCTTTTGGTCATTCATAAAATCTAGAACCTGAAGAACCTTTTCTAGGATTAAATTTATAATAAGGTTTTAAATTTAATTTTATATCAAAATACAAAGTCTTTAAGCAAAAGATAATTTAGTACTAACTTGTTTATTATGAATTTTATTTGAATAGTTGATGCCTTTTTATTTGTATTCATTATATTTTCTTATTTGCCTTCTCAGAAACTACACAAGCAGTAGAAGCATTTTTGTTGTCGCTTTATCAGTTGGTAGTGTAATGAAGTGGTTCCCAACCTTTTTTTAGATTGTAGCCCACTTTGAACCCAGAATTTTTCTGTGGCCCTTGAAATTATTATAGTGTTACTGCCCTTGAAATTATTATAGTGTTACTTCCATTTTACATAGAATATATTATTCAATTATAAAATTTCTGTGGCCCACCTGAAATTTGGAAAGTCTTGGTCCAAATTTGAATTCAGCTTGGAAGTATCCCTTTCCGTGTTGATTCCCATTATGATATACATACATCCATCTTTCTTTGTAATAAAACTAAAAATATTAATATCAAGTCCACTTCTTAGGGAAAATTTTTAAAATGCATTCTTATAACAGGAAAAAAAGAAATATATACTGCATATAGTCGAGTATAGTGCTAGTTTTTATGATCATTTTTTTTTTATGGGGGTTGCACTATACTTTTTTTTTATAGGGGGTTGCACTATACTTTTTTTTTATAGGGGGTTGCACTATACTTTTTTTATAGGGGGTTGCACTATACACAGGTATTTTGTTTGAAGAGTTTAAAAATTATGCATTTTTGGTGACCAGTTGCACTATGCACAGGTACATTTTTTTTCTGGAGGGGTTAAAATTCACGCAAAAAAAGTTTCAGGGGTTGCATTATGCATGAAATTGGCTTATATGCAAGTATATACAGTAATTTTGATTAAGATTGTTCAAACCCAAAGGGAAACAAAAAAGAAAACCCCAAAGGGAACAAAAAAAAATTTGGAAAAATGATGGAAAAAAACCCAAAGAGAGAAACATAAAAATCCCAAAAAAAAAAGGGGGAAAAACAACAAAGAGGGGGAAAAAGGTGAACAAAATAGTAGGGCATAAGGTTGGATATTTTTATTATTTATTTTAATAAAGGGTTATTTAATGTTGTTAAAATTTTAAATATAAAATTTAAAATGTGTAAAAATTTTAGGGTTTTAAACATTTTTGGTTAAAATTTTTTATAATACATTTTGTGTATATATTTAATTTTAAAATTTGTGTTTTAAAATATTTTTTTGTTATAAAAAATTTTTTAAAAAATAATAAAAATTTGTTGAAAAATTTGAAAAAAAAAAAATTTGTTAAAAAATGGGGGGGGGGGGGGGGGGCCCCCCCCCCCCCCCCAATGCCCCCCAAAACCAAAACCCAAAGGGGGGGGGAAAAACAAAATTTTAAAATTTGTTTGTGTTATAATTTATTGTGAAAAAATGTTGTATTTTTTTATTTTGTTTTAAAATTTATGTGTTTATAAAATTTGTTTTTATAATAAAATGTTTTTTATATATACAATGTTGTGTATAAAATTTTTGGTTAAAATATTTTTTAAAAAATTTTTAAAACTTTAAAAAGGGTTGTGTAATAATGCTTTGTGTGAAAATAAAAATTATGTGAAAAAAAATTTTTTTTGGGGAAATTTAATAGGTGTTGGATTTTTAAATTTTTTTAAAAAAATTTTTATGTGGGCAAATTTTATTGTTTTGGTTGGTTTATATATATGTGTGATAAATATTTTTGTGTTATTTTAAAAATTTTAAAAAATATTTTGTGTATTATTTAATTTTTTTAAAATTATATGTATGTTTGTTTTTTAAATATTTTTTGTTAAATTATTTTATATTTGTTGTTCAATAAATTTTACAATGGGGTTGTGTTTAATGTTTTTTTTTTTAATTTTTTTAAAAATTTTTTTGGTTTTTTTAAAAAAATTGTGTGAATATTTTTTAATTTTTTGGGTTGTATTTAAAAAAATCATGGGGGAAAACATAATGTGTGAAAAATTTTGAACATTTTTTAACAATGGGGGAAAAAATTTTTTTTGATAAACAAAATAACAAAAACAAATTTTAAAAATAAGTGTGAAAAATATAGGGGTTTTTAAATCTCCCCGGGAACAATATTTTAATTTAAATTTTTTTTTATTTTTTAAATTTAAATGGGAAATAAATTTTGGGGCAAAATTTATTTTTTATTTTTTAAAATTTTTATTTTTAAAAATTTTTATTTAAAAATAATTGTTGTGTGTATATAATTATTTGTGTTATATATAAATGTATGTGTTTTAAATATTATGTGAAAAATTGTGTGTAATATATTATTTTTTTTTTTTTTTTTTTTTAAAAAAAAAAATATTATGTTTATAATAAATAATAAAATTTTAAAAAAAATTGAAAAAAAGTGAAAAATTTTATTTTTAAAAATTTTAGGGGAAAAATTTTTTTTTTAAAAAATATATTTTAATATTTTTTTGTTTTTTAAAAATAAAAAGTTTTTAAAAACAGGGAACGGGGGCAAAAATCACACATTTATTTTTTGTTACCTGTTTTTAAAACAAGGGGGTTTTTAAAAATTTTTAAAACATTTAATTTTTTAATTTTTTTATATATTTTTTAAAATTTTTTTTTTAAAACAAAAAAAAAAAAATTATGTGTGTGTTTTTTGTTTCATTTTTTTTTTATTTTAAAAAAGTATTTTGTTTAATTTTTTTTTTTAAAAATGTGTAAAAAAAAAAAAATTTTTTTTAAGGGTTGTGTTACTTTGTTTGTGTTGTTTTATTTAAATTTAAAATTGGTTGTGTATAATTTTTTTTTAAAAAACATTTTTTTTTTAAAATTAATGAAATTTGTTATAATTTTAAAAATGTTGGGGTTTATAATTTTAAAAATTTTGTTTTTTTATAAAGTATTGTGTGTTTTAAAATTTTTTTTTTTTTTTTTTTTTAAAAAAAAAAAAAATGGGGTGTGTGTGTTTTTAATAATAAAATTGTGTGTGTTTTTTTAAAAATTTGGGGGGAAAAAAAAAAAATTTTTTTTTTCCCCCTTTTGTGGTGTTTTAATATATATTTGTATTTTGTGTTTTTTATTTTAATATATGTTTGTTTATTTTTGTATATATATATATTATTTTATATATATTTATTTTATTTTGTATTTGTGTTTATATTTATTGTATATATATTTTATGTGGGGAAATTTTTATATATATTTTTGGGGTTTTAATTTTTTTAAAAAATTGTTTTATTTGTATTGGTTAAAAAAAAATTTTTAATTATTTTTTTTATTATATTTATTTTTATATTTTAAAAATTTTATTTTTATTATTGTGTGAATAAATGTTTGATATTTATTGTTTTTTTAAAAAAAAAAATTTTTTTTGTGTTAAAATATTTTTATTTTTTTGGGGGTTTAAAATTCTTGTTTTAATATGATGTGCTTATAAAAAATTTTTGGGGTTTTTTTTAAAATTTTTATACATGTTGTTGTGTGTATTATATAATATATTATTTTATGTGTGTGTGTAAAAAATATGTTTTTGTGTTATTTTAATTTGTGTGTTATAATGTTATATTTTTGGGTATTTTTGTTTGTTTTAATGTTTTATATAAAATTTTGTGTGTTATATATTTTTAAAATTTTTTTTTTTTTTTGATTTTTATTTAAATTTTTAAATTTTTGTTTTGTGTTATTTTTTTTTTTTTTTTTTTTTTTTTGGTTAAATTGTGTTAAATTGTTTTTTTAAATTAGGAAATATAATAATTTTGGGAAATAGTAAATAATATAAAAATTTAGTTGTGTTTATATAAAATAAAATTATTTTGTGGGGATTTTAAATTTATTTTTTTTATTTTTTAATAAATTTATTTTTAATATTTTTTAAATATTTTGTGTTATATTTAATATTTTTGTTTTTTTTGTTTTATTTATATATATATATTTTGTTTTTTATATATTGTTTTTTATTATATATGTGTGTTGATTTTGTGTTATAAAAATTTTTATGTTGTGTTTTGTATTATTTTTTTTTTTTTTTTTTTTTTTTTTTTTTTTTTTTTTTTTTTTTAAAAAAAAAAAAAAAAAAAAATAAAAAAAAAAAAAAAAAAAAAAAAAAAAAAAATATATTATGTTGTTTTATATTGTTTTATATATGTATGT